AAAAATTAATTCATTTTAATTTTTAGGAGATATAGGAAATAACATAAAATAGGAAAACAAATAACTCTTAATTCAAGGAAATAAATATAAATTAGGAAAGAAAATATCTCTTTAATCAAAAGAAATAATTTATTCCTCATAACTTCTTACAGGAATAAATTATTTTCTATTATAATTCCTCAAGTTGAAATATAATTGAAAATCATATTCAACTTGAATTTGAAAATAACAAACAATGGGCGAGAAAGATCTTGTGAAGTAGAACTTGAAGCCTTTATTCTGTACTATGGTTGTCTTTAGCTACCGTTACTGCAGTGTCTGTAGATAGGCGGAAGGTTCCTAAAGATAATGCTGCAGGAGAGTTTGCAGGTAAGTAGACAGTAGTGGTTGCAGTTTTTGCAGTGTCTGTAGGTAGACGGAAAACTTCTACTAGTACTGTTGCAGGGAATTTGCAGGGTAGTAGACAATTTTGATTACTTTGGATGCAGTTCCTGCAGAGTCTGTAGGTAGGTTGAAAGCTCCTACATGTAATGATACAGAGGAGTTTGCACGAAAGTAGACAACTATGATTGACTTTTGACTACAGTTTCTGCAGTGCCAGTAGGAAGACACAAAACTCAGACTTAGTTGAATTTTGAGTTTTGTCTGTCATGTGTTTCGGCAAGTAAACAACTGAGTTTGTCTTTTGACTGCAGTTTCTACAATGCCTATAAGAAGACTTAAAATTTAGGCTTGACTGAATTTTGAGTTTTGTCTGTCATGTGATTCGGCAAGTAGACAACTGTGTGTCTTTTGACAGCAATTTCTGCAGTGCCTATGAGAAGACTGAACATTCAGGCCATTCAGGCTTGGTTGAATTTTGAGTTTTGTCTGTCATGTGTTTTGGCCTTTATGTATATAAAGATGAAAGTTTAGGTGTTAGATATGTAAATACATAAGAATTATGTGGCATGCATGTAAATGTCCCTTCTTTCTTTTTTAAGGATAAGAAAGCAATGCCCAGCAAGCACATCTAAGCTACAACCTTGTCTGGCAGCTTGTTGTTGTTGTTCAGCCTGAAAGATGAGCAAACACTCAGAAACCGAATTTCAGTAAATGTGGCATTACATGAATAAGATGAAATAACAATAATTCTTTAAAAGCTTGAATGACCGACGATCTTACAAGCATAAATACATAAATGATTTGCTTGCGTACATGATTCCTTACATGCACACATTCATGATTCCTTACATACATATATCCATGATTCCTTGCGTACATATAAACATACATCATACATACATACATGATTCCTTACATACATACATACATATATACATTCATGTATTCCTTACAAGCATACATAAATACATGCATTGCTTAAGCGCATTGTTGAAGAATAATGCAGAATAAAGAGGAATACTTGATTTCATTGATATAGACGGGGGTATAAATAACACTTACAAGAATCCTAAAATAGGAAAAATAATAAAAAGAAAATGATATGGAAGGAAAGATATATCACTTAATATCTCAAAAAATTAATTCATATTAATTTTTAGGAGATATAGGAAATAACAAAAAATAGGAAAACAAATAACTCTTAATTCAAGGAAATAAATATAAATTAGGAAAGAAAATATCTCTTTAATCAAAAGAAATAATTTATTCCTCATAACTTCTTACAGGAATAAATTATTTTCTATTATAATTCCTAACACTCTTCCTCAAGTTGAAATATAATTGAAAATCATATTCAACTTGAATTTGAAAACAACAAACAATGGGCGAGAAAGATCCTGTGAAGTAGAACTTGAAGCCTTTATTCTGTATTGTGGTTGTCTTTAGCTGCAGTTACTGCAGTGACTGTAGATAGACGGAAGGTTCCTACAGATAATGCTGCAGGAGAGTTTGCAGGTAAGTAGACAGCAGTGGTTGCAGTTTTTGTAGTGTCTGTAGGTAGACGAAAAACTTCTACTAGTACTGTTGCAGGGAATTTGCAAGGAAGTAGACAATTTTGATTACTTTGGCTGCAGTTCCTGCAGAGTCTGTAGGCAGGCTGAAAGCTCCTACATGTAATGATACAGAGGAGTTTGCACGAAAGTAGACAACTGTGATTGTCTTTTGACTACAGTTTCTGTAGTGTCAGTTGGAAGACACAAAACTCAGACAGCTGAATTTTGAGTTTTGTCTGTCATGTGTTTCGACAAGTAGACAACTGAGTTTGTCTTTTGACTGCAGTTTCTGCAATGTTTCTGCAATGTCTATAAGAAGACTTAAAATTTAGGCTTGACTCAATTTTGAGTTTTGTTTGTCATGTGATTCGGCAAGTAGACAACTGTGTGTCTTTTGACAGCAATTTCTGCAGTGCCTATGAGAAGACTGAAAAACTCAGGTTTGGCTGAATTTTGAGTTTTGTCTGTCATGTGTTTTGGCCTAGAGAGAAGATAGATGGGGGTTTAGGCAGCAAGGATGAAACTGACGAAGAAGGGAATGTATGTTAATCTTCCTCTTCGATGCAGGCGAAGAAATAATGAGACGAAGAGCAAACAACGAGAATCAAGGCAAACAAATAATTTTTTCCTTCTCGCAAGAAGACCGATGGGAAGGGAGTCTTGACGGTTCTTCAATAACTACCAGTAGTTAGAGCAAAATTTTGTCTCTGATAACATGTTGAAATTTTAAAAAATGTGGAATAAAGTGGAATACTTGTTTTCATTAATATGAACGGGGTATAAATAACCCTTACAACAATCCTATAATAGGAAAAATAATAAAAAGTAAATGATATGAAAGAAAAGATATATCAGTTAATATCTTCAATAAACAATTCATATTAATTATTAAGAGATATAGAAAATAACATAAAATATGAAAACAAATAATTCCTAATCCAAAGAAATAAATATAAATTGGGAAAGAAAATATCTCTTTAATCTAAGAAAATAATTTATTTCTCATAACTTCTTACAGGAATAAATTATTTCCTATTATAATTTTTAACTGCATACATACATCATTGCTTACATAAATACATGCATCACATGCATACATACATATATATTTTTCTTTTGTTGGGAATTTACATACGTAGCACACAATTCTTATGTATTTACAAATCTTACACAAACTTTCATATTTACATACAAAGCATTCTGGTGCTTTAAATTTATGCATGAAAATATGTACTTCACTTCTAAAAAATAATAATAGTGTTATTTTTGGCATGATATTAAAGATTTGAGTGTTATGGGTGTAAATATGAAAGTTTTTGTATGAGAAATGTAAATAAATAAGAATTGTGAGTTATGCATGTAAATTCCCCATTTTTTTGAAGTAGGGCTTCTAGGGGATTGAAGATTCCTTTCACGCTCCTCTGGGGCCAAGGAAAGCCCAAAACTAAGAGCGGTAGTTTTCAATCAACAAAAGATGTGACTCGGTTAACATCTTATTGCCTACATCATGCCAGAAGAACAAAGATTATACACACACACCTTGCTAACATAAATACATACATATATACAACATTTATGTGTGCACGCATGATTACTTAGATGCATCAAAATATGTCTGCATGACTTGCATGCATTCATATGCACATAGCATAAGTACACACACACACACATACACACATACATGTCACAACATGCATTTAATATATACTAAAATTGCACTATAAAAAAATTCAAAATTACAAGAACAAATGGTGAAATCAAAAGCTTGAAGTTTTTTTTCAATCTCCTTTACTCAAACCCTTCCCTTCCCTTAAAGCTCCTTTCAATCTTCTTTTATATCCTCCTTCACTATTTAACTTCTTATCTTTCCATTTATTCCTTTCACTTCTATTATATGAATGCAATTTATTGTCAATTTCATCCAATAATAGTCATAGCTAGGTTAAATCAAACAAGCTTGATAAAATAAATTTAACATTTTCAAACAAAGTAGAATGGAATATTTTCAAAAAGGAGCAAATGTCATTGTTGATGCTATGTTGAGATCTACGAAGATGTATTATTCTTGTTTCTCTTCGACTATTAAAATGTTATCAATGAAATATTTTGATTGTTAATTAGACTATTATACTAAGGATTTGTTTGGGATCATTTTTGTTTATTCTTTTTTTTTTAACTTTTATTTCAAAAACATTTTTGTATAGTAATTATATATATATATTTTTTTTATTTTTTGCTTTTAAAAATAAATTAGCTTGTTTTTAAAAACACTCAAAATATCTAAAAATTATTTTGAATGTTTTTAAAAATAACCACACATGTTTTATTTGAAGTTAAATTATAAATAAAATAAAACAAGTATAAAAAACAAAAATAAAAATATGATCACAAATGGCCACCGAGTATCCTAAAAAATTAGTGGTTATAGTAGTACATCATTGCTTGATCGATGTATATGAACCAAATTTTCATAATGAAAAAGAGAAGAAATTTCATAGAAAGGCCATTTGACACTTGCATTATATAGAATGACGAAAATAAAGGAGGCCAAAATGTAATAGTCTTGAAGTTTGATCATCTTTGTGATAAATATCAGCCCATACTGCATTACTCTTGTTTCTCACTTTGCTGATTAGGCGTGCACGCAATCAACAAACAATGGTAAATGCAGTATCACATAGTCTGACTAAATGTTTAGATTAATACTAACATTAATAAAAATGGCAAGAAACTCACCTCCTACTATATTCATTGTTATGTTGAAGGCACGATTTAGCTGAACAAGCCATGATGTGACATGAAAGATTGCTTAGTGGACATGGTGTATTGTTTCAAGTCATAAAATAGATAAGTAGGAACTCTACCCCTACCATTAAAGAAATAAATTTGATAAAAATTCACATAAAATTACATACATTTAAAGTCGGTCATTTAACTACTGTATACAAGACAACTATAAAAGATATTTAAAAACAATTATTAGGAACTAATGCCAAAGAAAACATAGAACAGTGAAAGACTAATTCAAAGACATTTTTCATATAAAATAGATAAGCATGGCGTTATGATGGTGATTTTTATAGGGGGATTTAAATACATGGTATACAAAACATTGGAATTTACATATTTCGCACTCAAACTTCATCATTTGCACAATATATAGCATTATAATTAACAAAATTAAATAAAAATAACATCTTCCCTCACCTTCCATCACAGCAGTCTTTCCTTGTTACGAAATTCAAACGGCCAAACTCATTCCACTGCCAATGTCTGACCCCCCCCACCACCCCCCACCCGTCACTCACTACCTCTGAGTTTGTGAAGTCAGACATCGCCGCAGATCTCTAAAATTGCACCAGCCTGGCTACAATCTCAGGAAGCCAATTGCCTCACTATAGGCTCACAAAGTCTGATCTCATCGCTGACCTTCAGATTTCATCCTTGCTGCTTCAACACTTGCCAAGTCGCCATTGACATATGACCTTACCCTCGTTGCCTCAACTTGAGAAGTCCAACCTTGCCGTCAACCTTGAGGTCTGCTTGCCTCATTACAATGGAGATCGCCAAGTCACGGCGTCCAATGCCGTCACTGACAATGGAGCTAACAGAGTTCTACATATGTAAATAATGAAGTTCGAGTGTTTAATAAGTAAATTCCAATATTCCGTGTGCCAGGAATGTAAATTCCCCATTTTAAAATTAGAAAAAAAAATCAATGGAACAATACACATTTAGCAAAGTGTATTTTACAAAATGATATTAGAAATTGCATATGCTTCTTTTTTTGAAGTACTTGTAAAATACATACAGCAGGTGAAGTCGCTGATGACAAGGAGAACAATCTATCTTTAAGTGGAACTCTCTTGGACCGCCTCACGCTACAGAAATCATATAAAAATGTTTTCTTTTGAAGTAACATTTTGATTATAACAAATGCAAAATAGCACTACAGATAAAAATAAAAGAAAACAGTAAGGGAGAAGGCATTTATGATGGCGAGTTTTAAAACCATGAAACAAGAGCATAGTCATAAATTGTCATGGCGAGTTTTAAAACCATGAAACAAGAGCATAGTCATAAATTGTCATCCAAATCTACATAACACAGAAGAGCTATCAAATGCTAATCAGAATTCCTTTTACATAAGACATGTTACTTGTTAGAAAAATGATTGAACATTGAGCAAAATTAAATGAAGATGAATAAAAAGATAAAAAATATAGGATGCACAATTTACAAGTTTGGTGACTTTCAACCGCATTCATGGCTGCATAGAAATAAAATATTCCATTAAGCTTTAAAAGAAAAGTATATCAAATAGCCTCGTAGTGCATCCCAACATATATTCTAGAGGAGCATATGTTATCTCAGAGCCCATATTCATCACATTTCCAATTGCTTTAAGTAAAAAAAGAAAAAAAAAAGAAAAAGAAAAGAGAAAAGCTAATAATATGCCGCATTCTCACTATCCTAAGCAAATAACCATGTCCAACCCCTAAAACATGTCTGTCATTCTATTTTCACATGCTCAAGTAATAAAGAAAACCGAAAGGAAGCAAGGCGCAAGGGGGCGGGGGAGGTACCTCCTTAAAGCAGAATGTAATACAGGGATTTCAAAAAGAGAATACTTCACAATAGGAAGTTAACCCCAGCATTAGAAACTAAAGAAGAAAGTAAGAAAGAAATTTGGCAGAGTTTTCCTTTCCTTTTGAAAATTTCCGGAAAATTTCCGGCTCCCTGAAACGCACCAACGAAAGCCTCATATAGATCAGAGAACAGGAGAAGGAATGATTAGGAGATCGTATACGATTCGAAGGATCGAGAGGAGCAAAAGCCTCCATACGGGCGTGCGAGAGGCAGAGGATGAGAGATGAGTCGCGAGATCGTCCCGCGTGCACGGGAACGAGACTCCAACGGCACGAAAGAGTGGGCTAGGAGAAACCGAGTGAACCGCGGCTAGGGCAGAGGTCCACGAGCGCGAGAGGAAGAAACGGGAGAGGGGAAAATGAAATTAGGTTAAGGATTTTTAATATAAGTTAATAATAATAATAATAATAATAATATATTATTTATTATGAAGTTCGAGTGTTTAATAAGTAAATTCCAATATTCCGTGTGCCAGGAATGTAAATTCCCCATTTTAAAATTAGAAAAAAAAATCAATGGAACAATACACATTTAGCAAAGTGTATTTTACAAAATGATATTAGAAATTGCATATGCTTCTTTTTTTGAAGTACTTGTAAAATACATACAGCAGGTGAAGTCGCTGATGACAAGGAGAACAATCTATCTTTAAGTGGAACTCTCTTGGACCGCCTCACGCTACAGAAATCATATAAAAATGTTTTCTTTTGAAGTAACATTTTGATTATAACAAATGCAAAATAGCACTACAGATAAAAATAAAAGAAAACAGTAAGGGAGAAGGCATTTATGATGGCGAGTTTTAAAACCATGAAACAAGAGCATAGTCATAAATTGTCATGGCGAGTTTTAAAACCATGAAACAAGAGCATAGTCATAAATTGTCATGGCGAGTTTTAAAACCATGAAACAAGAGCATAGTCATAAATTGTCATCCAAATCTACATAACACAGAAGAGCTATCAAATGCTAATCAGAATTCCTTTTACATAAGACATGTTACTTGATAGAAAAATGATTGAACATTGAGCAAAATTAAATGAAGATGAATAAAAAGATAAAAAATATAGGATGCACAATTTACAAGTTTGGTGACTTTCAACCGCATTCATGGCTGCATAGAAATAAAATATTCCATTAAGCTTTAAAAGAAAAGTATATCAAATAGCCTCGTAGTGCATCCCAACATATATTCTAGAGGAGCATATGTTATCTCAGAGCCCATATTCATCACATTTCCAATTGCTTTAAGTAAAAAAAGAAAAAAAAAAGAAAAAGAAAAGAGAAAAGCTAATAATATGCCGCATTCTCACTATCCTAAGCAAATAACCATGTCCGACCCCTAAAACATGTCTGTCATTCTATTTTCACATGCTCAAGTAATAAAGAAAACCGAAAGGAAGCAAGATCGTCAATCGGGTGGGAGGTACCTCCTTAAAGCAGAATGTAATACAGGGATTTCAGAAAGAGAATAATTCACAACCTACACTCTTCTTCAATAGCCATAGGAAGTTAACCCCAGCACTAGGAACTAAAGAAGAAAGTGAGAAAGAAATTTGGCAGAGTTTTCCTTTCCTTTTGAAAATTTCCGGCTCTTTGAAACGCACCAACGAAAGCCTCGTATAGATCAGAGAATATGAGAAGGAATGATTAGGAGATCGTATACGATTCGAAGGATCGAGAGGAGCGGAAGCCTCCATACGGGCATGCGAGAGGCAGAGGATGAGATCCTCGCAGAAGATGAGATACGATAAGAGATGAGTCGCGAGATCGTCCCGCGTGCACGGGAACGAGACTCCAACGGCACGAAAGAGTGGGCTAGGAGAAACCGAGTGAACCGCGGCTAGGGCAGAGGTCCACGAGCGCGAGAGGAAGAAACGGGAGAGGGGAAAATGAAATTAGGTTAAGGATTTTTAATATAAGTTAATAATAATAATAATAATAATAATAATAATAATATATTATTTATTATTATAATTAACATTCAAAAATATATTTTCCCTAAGACGCGCCGTCGCAATGAAACAAATGTCCCCCCTAAGCAAAATCGATGTTCCGGACGCATCGGTGCAGTCCATTTCGTCATCCAGAGTCGTCCGAGGCAACCTCGTCGTCAATCGAGTCAAAAACGCATCGCAATCCGAATCCTATCAAAATTCCAGTATGAGTTCAATCAAACAGGACGGTGTAGAGTTGACAGTGTAGAGGACGACGACGCCAAATCAACGAGTACAGTCAATCCTAAGGCCGACAGTCCTATAGGAATTGTCTTACCAGCTAAGCAATGACGGTCAAAACTACTATATGAAACGTCAAGTCGAGCGAAAAAGAATTCAGAATTGCTAAGAATTGCTAACGGGGAGGGCTTCTTCATTATTTTTTTAGGAGTAGTCGATAGAAAGGTTCTACGGCTAGATCCTAGGCTACTAAGGAGAGGAAAACTGCACCTCGACTGAAAACGAGGTCAACAAACGGACCCTCAATAGGTGTGGTGTGTTTGGCGAGCACACCGCGTATTGGCGTTGACCGACGAGATCAAATACAGATTTCTAAACCAACAGGCCTAGAAAGAAGCGTAGAATTAAGTGCTAATTGTTCCCGCTGAGGAATTAGCCAGTGAACATTCGATTAAAATCGGTGATCAGGAACTCTCATTGTGGATTGGAGAGTGGATTTGGAGTCATCAAATTTCTAATGTTTGTCAAGGATGGGAATCAGTATTTACATTTAAAAATGAAATTAGGTTAAGAATTTTTAATATAAGTTATTAATTATAATAATAATAATAATATATTATTTATTATTATAATTAACATTTAAAAATGTATTTTCCCTAAGACGCGTCGTCGCAATGAAACAAACGTCCCCCCTAAGCAAAATTGATGTTCCGGATGCATCGGCGCAGTCCGTTCTGTCATCCAGAGTCGTCTGAGGCAACCTCGTCGTCAATCGGGTCAAAAACGCATCGGGTCAAAAACGCAGTCAATCGGGTCAAAAACGCATCGCGGTCCAAATCCTATCAAAATTCCAGTATGAGTTCAATCAAACAGGACGGTGTAGAGGATGGCGACGCCAAATCAACAAGTACAGTCAATCCTAAGGCCGATAGTCCTATAGGAATACTCTCTGAGTTCCTTCAGAGTAGTCTTACCATCTAAGCAATAACGGTCAAAACTACTATATGGAACATCAAGTCGAGCGAAAAAAAATTCAGAATTGCTAACGGGGAGAGCTTCTTCACTAATTTTCTAGGAGTAGTCGACAGAAGGTCCTACGGCTAGATCCTGGGCTACTAAGGAGAGGAAAACTGCACCTCGACTGAAAACGAGGTCAACAAACGGACCCCCAATAGGTGTGGTGTGTTGGCCGAGCACACCGCGTATTGGCGTTGACCGACGAGATCAACAGGACCTATACAGATTTCTAAGCCAACAGGCCTAGAAAGAAGCGTAGAATTAAGTGCTAATTGTTCCCGCTGAGGAATTAGCCAGTGAACATTCGATTAAAATCGGTGATCATGAACTCTCATTGTGGATTGGAGAGTGGATTTGGAGTCATCAAATTTCCAATGTTTGTCAAGGATGGGAATCAGTATTTAGATGCTGACCCCAAGGTGAGAATCGAAGTTTAGATATTAATCTTGAAAAGGAGAGTCAGAATTTAGGTACCGATCTCGAAAGATGGGAATCAGAATTTATGTACTGATCCAAAAGGAGAATTGAAATTTATGTATTAATCTCAGGAAGAGAGTCGAAATTTAAGTATCGACCTCGAAAAGTGAGAATCAGAATTTAGGTACTGATCCGAAAAGAGAATTAAAACTTAGGTATCAATCTCGAAAAGAGAGTCAAAATTTAGGTATCGACCTCGAAAGATGAAATCAGAATTTAGGTACTGATCCAAAAATGAGAATTGAAATTTAGGTATCAATCTCAGGAAAAAAGTCGAAATTTAGGTATCGACCTCGAAAGATAGGAATCAGAATTTAGGTACTGATCCGAAAATGAGAATTAAAATTTAGGTATCAATCTCAGGAAAAGAGTCAAAATTTAGGTATCGACCTTGAAAGGTGAGAATCAGAATTTAGATACTCATCCGAAAGGAGAATTGAAATTTAGGTATCAATCTCAGGAAGAGAGTCGAAATTTATGTATCAATCTCGAAAGATAGGAATCAGAATTTAGGTACTGATTCGAAAATGAGAATTGAAATTTAGGTATCAATCTCAGGAAGAAAGTCGAAATTTATGTATCGATCTTGAAAGATAGGAATCAGAATTTAGGTACTGATTCGAAAATGAGAATTGAAATTTAGGTATCAATCTCAAGAAGAGAGTCGAAATTTAATAATCGACCTCGAAAGGTGAGAATCAGAATTTAGGTACTGATCCAAAAGGAGAATTAAAATTTAAGTATCAACCAGAGGAAGAGAGTTGAAAGTTAGGGACCGACCTCGAAAAGAGGGAATCGGAAGTTAAGGACTGATTCCAAAATGAGAATTGAAATTTAAGGATCAATCTCAAAAAGAGGATTGAAAATTAGTTCGACCTCGAAATGTGAGAATCAAAATTTAGGTATTGATTCGAAAATGAGAATTGAAATTTAGCTATCCTACGGCTAGATCCTAGGCTATTTAGGAGGGGAAAACTACACCTCGACTGCAAGCGAGGTCAACCAACAATATCTCATTAGCAACACTATAATTTTTAAAATATATGCCATCATACTCAACACCGTCATTAGATCTTTGGCATTTAATTTTTACAACTATCTTACTTTCAGCTAAACTTCTCTATTTTTTAAAGTCATTAAACACTCCAGATTTATTCTTGATAAAATAAACTCATAATTTTTTATGCAATTGTCCCATGAATGTGATATAGTACATCGAATAATCTAGAGATGAGTCAAGGGATTGCCCCAGATATTTGTGTGAATCAATTCTAGCTTCTTGGTTTATCTTCAAGTTTTTTAGAAATTGACCAATATTTTCTTTCATAAAATACAATCTTCACAAAAATTAAATTCCACATATTTTAACAAATAAAATTTACCTTAAGAATAAAGTTGTTTTAGGCCCTTTTTATTCATATGGCATTTTCTTTACTGCTGGAAGTTAAGCATACTGTAGCTCCCACTATTTCAAAATAGGTAAATGTGTGAAGCGTAATGACCCCGATGATATAGTTGTGCAAAATATATAAAGTTGACTCCGCTTTTCAACGGTGTCAAAAATTTGATGCGTTATTTTATGAATAAGAAATTTAAGCAATTTATGTAGAGATTCTACGCAAGTATACGTATCGTTATCAAGTAATACATGACTTTAATATCGATCCCAAGAGGAAGATTTAAATTTGAAGTGATAAATTAAGTACGAAAATCACAATCATAAAATAAAATTACTGTCACTAATTTTGAATATTTAATGTACTATCAGAACTAAATTATTAACTACTAACAAA